CAGCGCATCAGGCCCGTGCACCTTCTTGCTAAGCGAGAAGGTCTGGAGGGCGACGACGTTGTTGCAGCGCGGAGAGTGCTCAAGATGGGTCATGACAACAATTGGTCTCCTCCTCGGGCTGTTGCGACCTCCTTATACGTTCTCATGCCTGCAGAGAGATGCAGTCCCCAGCTTCATGGACCTACTCGAGAACTGTTTCTGCTACCTGCCGGAATTGGAGTACGTACGCGCTGCGAAGGAATTACCCTCCATCTGCAAGAGCTCTTTGACTGTGCATGACCGCATCAGCAACAAGAAGCCTGTTGCCAGGCACTTGTACCTCCATTGCCTGGCAGGCAGAGGCCGTTTTGGCCCGAAAACATCCCTCGCCGAGCAAATGCAGTAAACCCTAAACCCTAAAGCCTAAACCCTAACGGAGGGACAAGCCATTGCACAGGCAAGTCCTGACGGAAGCGGGATGCTCCACTTCTGCTTGCTGGAGCCGACTCTGGGGCTATTTATAGCCCTCAGTCTAGGGTGTAGACTTTAGGGCTTAGGGTTTAGGGTTTAGGGTTTAGGGTTTAGGGTTTAGGGCTTAGGATTGTTGTTTGCAGTTTAGGGTTTAGGTTGTGCAAGTACATCTTGCAACAGCCCTCAAAACCCTAAACCATAAACCCCTAAACCTTAGCATGTGTTTTCTTGGCATTTTTAAGGTGTCTTGGAGTTCTGGGTTTAGGGCCCTCAACGGGCTTCATGGGTTTAGGGTTTAGGGTTTCATGGAGTTTTCTCGGCTTTTGTAAGGGTTTGTCACGTTGCTTGTCAGGGTGTCAAGCACTGGTCTTGTAGCTCTTCATGGGCTTTGTGATTTTGCTGGAGTTGATCAGAAATTTTGCAGGATTCGTCTGTTTTAAGGCACCTAGCTTTCTACACAACCGATATCAGCCATAAAACTAGATACCCTAGAGAGGGTACAGCGAATCCCAGAAAGTTGGAACGTATGTTTCGGAGGATAAGTGCTAGGATCCCATACACTTTACCCTAAGGACATGAGGATATTGATGTTCAGACTTTCTGGCTTCTACTGTAAACCCATTATAAAACCCTAAATTCCTAAACCCAAAACCTTAAATCCCAAACCCTAAACCCTAAAACCCTAAATCCCTAAATCGCTAAACCCTCAACCCTCAATGGCTTCTACTGTAGGGTATGACCATGCAGGTAGTGTAAGTTGTAAAGCTCTGAGGGCTTCTATGCGCAAGGCCTTTGGACTCGCAAGCGCAGCTTATAAAATTTAGGGTTCAGGGTTTAGGGTTTAGGGCTTAGGGGGTTTAGGGCTTAGGATTTATAGAGTTTAGGGGGGGGGGGTTGTGGTTTAGGTTTAGGGCTTGAGCTTTCGAGTCAGCCTGCAACCTTACATGGTTTATGTCCTTCATGGTTCTAAGAGGAGCATGAAGCAACGCTGATGCATGTTTCTATTTTGTATATGTGATTCGTTCTACAATGTGGGTTTCGGGTGTAGGGGTGAGCTCATACATCCTGAGAATAACCCTTCACGGAACCCCTCAAGGAACCCCTAAAGCAGCCCTTAAAGGAACCCCGAAATGAGCCCTTATCGTTACCCACCCACGGCCCGAAGCCAGACCCTTGTAGCAACCCTCATTGTAACCCCTGTTCCTTGGAGTGACCCTGTTTGTAACCCTTAACGTACGCTGCACCCCGAACCCTGAACCCTAAACCCTGAACCGTAAACCCTGAACTCGAAACCCTAAACTCTGAACCCTAAACTCTGAACCCTAATTGTAACCATATAGTACACCTCAGAGTAACCTAAGTGGCGCCTTTATAACAAGGGGGCTGAGGGCTCCAACCCTAAGCAAACCATGAACCCTAAACCCCACATCCTTGGTTTAGGGTTTAGGGTTTTAGGACTTAGGGTTTAGGCTTTCGGGTTTAGGGTTTAGGGGTTTTAGGGCTTAGGGGTTTAGGGTTTACGCTTTAGGGAATAGATCTTGGGACCAGAGCTTGAATGCCGCAGGTTGCAGCAGGCGCTAGAGAGCTACGCCGATGCACTTCGAGTGCCTCTGCATGAGAGTTTGACAGCGTTCTTGGAGGTTCGTGGGTAGTTATAAGTGGGGTCATAAGTAGTGTAACTATAGTTATAACTAAGGAGGGTAACTATAATTATAACCCATACTAGGGGACTTATAACCCTACTTATAACTACCCTGACCCTAAACCCAAACCCTAAAACCTAAACCTTACCCATGAACCTCCAAGTAGGAGTTATTGGTCTAGGGTCTTGTCTTGGGGCTTGGGGTCTTTGGGCTTTAGGGGTTCGGGCTTCAGGGTTTAGGCGTTATAGGTTCATGGGATTTAGGGCTTCAGGGTTTCAGGGCTTCAGGACTTCAGGGTTTTGGGTTTAGGGCGTCAGGGTCTAGGGTTGCACGTTTGGGGTCTCGGTTTTCAGGTTTGGGGATTTAGCGGTGTCTGGTTTAGGGTTTCGGAGTGTAGGGTTTAGGGTTGGGAGTTCGTGCCTGTAAAGCAGAGGCTTAGGGTTTAGGAGTTTACTTGGAGGATCCTGGGACTTAGTAAGTCAGGCTATAAGTCCCATTGGGGCTATAAGTAAATATAAGTACAGCTACCTTAGTTATAACCTTACTTAGTAAGTCTCATGATCCTTTAAGTGGGGCTTAGGGTTTAGGGTGATACACCGCGAGCTCGATGGGTCATATGCCAGAAAGCAGTTGTCGCAGTATCTATCGAACCCTGCGGTTCCAAGTGCCCCTAAACCCTAAACCCTAAACCCTAAACTCTAAACCCTAAACCCTAAACCCTATATAGTAGGTACCTGGGGGGGTTGCCGAACACCATTCAGAGTACGGAGCTTGGAGTCCAAAGCCCTACTGTCCGGGTATTTGGACCCTCTAGGTCCGTTTTTTCGTAGTATCCAAACTCTGTAAGCTTTAAAGTTTAAGGCTTAAACCCCAGACCCCTAAACCCTAAACCCTATAAGCCCTCATACGGGGTTTGGCATCTAGAAATGGGTTAGGGTTTGGAATCTCGCATGATTCATACGAAGTTTTCTTAGCAGTAGATTGGGTATCTGTTAGGTTTTGTACTATAATCCCCTAAGCCCTAAACCCTAAACCCTATATTTCCCAACAGTTGAAGCCTTAGTTCCCCTAGGATACTGGACAGGTGCCTAGATTAGCGAAGTTGTGCCTCGCGCAGTTTATCTGACAGCACTTGTGAAGCAGATGTGGCCTTTGGGGTTCGGGTTTAGGGTTTCAGGTCTGGGTTCTTGTTAAGGGACGAGTTTCAATTAAGTTACCATAAAGCAGAAACCATATTGTTTAATATAGATCCCCGCTATGGTAACTTCAATTAAATCCTTCAACAACAACCCAGAAGTTCAATCATCAAGAACAGGAGAACGTAGGATTCAGGGTTTAGGGTTCAGAGTTGAAGCAGTTCAGGAGTTGTTGTCTCGCCTGCCGACGTCGCGGTTTGGCCTTGGAAGTTTGAACACCCAGTTCAAACAACCAGGGTTGAGGATTTAGGGTTTAGGGCTTGGTCTTGTGACAGTTTTTACGCCTACAGAATAAGGGTATCAATGCTCAGTACTGTTCGTCATGTGCTTGAGTTTTGGTTGCAAGTTTCCTCAGCGTAGAACAATCCGCAGGTGCGTGAAGATCCGGGTATTCGGGAGTTGGCTGCAGTGCCAGTCTTGCTGCCGGTTGCCCCTCGGATCGCAGCCGTTTGCGGTTATAACGTTATAACCCTAAACCCTAAACCGTAAAACTCCTAAAACCCAACCCAATAAAGACCTGGACCATGGAAGCGCCCAACCTGGATTATGTAGCTCGCTTTGTACATATACATCTCTATATGTATATACTACATACCTGCTGGCTCCATCTATATATATACACATCTAAATATACATTTGCATACGCATATACATACATACATACATACATACATACATACATACATACATACATACATCTGTAGAATATAGATGTATATATCTGAGTACACATATACACACATTGTGCAACAGGTGCATGTCTGATATATATATATATATATATATATATGCGTGTGTGTGTGTGTGTAAGAATAATCTGCTATGCAGCAAAGATGTAGTTACCTATGGCATGATAACAATTCATAAGTATACGTATGCGTACGTGTATGTGTTTGTAAGTATGCATGTAGACATGCATGTATGCATGTTTGTTTGTTTGTATGTATGTATGTATGTATGTATGTATGCATGTATACATGCATATGTGTGTATGCATGTATGTATGAATGCATGTATGTATGTATGCATGTATGCATGTATGTATGTATGTATCTATGTATCTATGTATCTATGTGTGTATGTATGTATGTATGTATGTATGTATGTATGTATGTATGTATGTACAAAACATGTATGTATGCATGTATGCATGTAGGTATGTATGAAAATACAGGTTTAGGGTTTAGGGTTAAGCGCTTATTGGTTATGAAGCATATAGAGATATTGTGTCCAGGGTTGACTTTACATACCATATTTCACATTGATGTCGTGATAACACAAATCAGCTCTTTTACTGTGATTTTACACGATCAATACGGTGCCCCGCCGTATTGATCGGATTCAAGAATCGATGCTGAGGGGTCGCAGAGGAGTCCTTCGAGCCCGAGCGGGGTGTAATATACCTCAAACTACAGTAGTGGTAGGTTGCCCATACTTGGAGGTCCATGGGTAGTGATAAATGGGGTTATAAGTCCCCTAATATGGGTTATAAGTACAGTTAGCCTACTTATAACCCCACTTATAACTACCCATGAACCTCCAAGTACTAACCAACACCAGTTTCTCCGCATTCCAGTTTGGGAAATGATTGCAGGCTGCACTATGCCAGCATCCACCATGTAGTAGCTACGTCCTGCCAGGGGTGTGCAGGTCCTTTCCGTGCACAGTTGACTATGCGGTGTCTAGAGTTCTACTGGGCCACGACTGGCACATGATCAGCTGCTTGGACAGAAACTGAGTGATCCCAGACTTGGGGATGGTAAAGGGCTCACCTTGGGCATAATGGGACGCAGGGTTTAGGGTGTAGGGTTTCTGCTTGCTCACCCTGAGAAAGCATAGGATTTGGGAAAAAGCGCATCGAAGATCAACTCCCGAATGCTGCTGTGCCATGCAAGAAGAGCTTTTTGTTGGCGCCTTCTGAAGTCTGCAAATAGCACCTGGATTTGGCCATGTGGAGCCCCTGGGCTTCGGATTTACAAGGTCGCAGAGATCTTGGGAGTGTGACTGTTACGAACTAGTCAGATCTCCATATTCTATCCTACCTGTAGTCTCCATTGTAGTTCCTGGGGATACCTTATAGAATCCTTCATATATATATATATATATATATTTTTTTTTTTAGTTTAAACCCAAAAAAGGAACTACAATGGAGACTATAGGGTAGCCCCTATCCCTTGGCTCCCAGGATCCCAGAAAGCTCACAGAAAACAGCTTGAACCCGTTTAGGGTTTAGGGTTTAGGGTTTAGGGTTCGTCCAGGCAGAGTTCTGGAGGGAAAGCACTTCTCTGGAGACGTGGACATCTTCCTGGATGTCAGCAGAGCATGTTGGGAATACTGCTGAACTAAACTCCGACTATCGTTTTCGAACTGTTGATTAAGGCTGACTGACAGGTCCCAATAATCGAAGAGCACACCTGATTTGCAGGAAATTGGAGGTTTTCGTTTGGCATAATACAGCCCAAACGCTGAGTTTCTTCCCCCCCACGCTGCCAGAACCATCCTACCTCTGCATTGTGGCATGGTATTGAGGATCAGGGTTCAGGTTTTGGGTTTTACTGTTGGGGATGCAGGGCATGATGCCGCAAAAACGGCATAATGTTGACGGTATCTGTGCTTGGTTCTCTGAGCAGCGCTTGTAGCGGTGGGCAAAGTCTGTCAATCAAAGGGATTGGGTTCCGGGCAGCCAGGCGAAACTGCGAAAAGAGTACAACAGGAAAGCAGTCTCAAAGTCCATACCAATGGCCGTCACGTATTTTGCACAGACAAGCCCCTAAGCCCCAAAATGCCTGGGCCTAAACCCTTACTCCTCTGCTGCTGATGAAGTTGCCAGTCTCGTCAATGTGTTGTTAAGAAAGGGAAGGATTTAGGGTTTAGTTTAAGGGGAGGGTTTAGGAATGAATTAAGTAGAGTTTTGGGTTTAGGGTTTGCGTGGTGCAATCTTTATCGGCAATGTTTGATGTTCTAAGACTTTCCTCCCCTGGCCCATTACTGCAGAGAGTCCGAGAAGTACTAGATACCAGGGACCCGAGTGAGTCAGAACAGCGACTAAGGTCTAGACTCTGGACCCAAGCTGCTGTGGCTACTGCTACTGCTGCTACGACGGCATCAACAAACAACACACAACAAACAACAACCACAAACCACGGCCAGGACCACCACGACCACGAGCACGACGCACAACTACTGCGACTGCTGCTGCTGCTGCTGCTGCTACTACTACTACTACTACTACTACTACTACTACAACTACTACAAAGACGACGACTACTACAACGACGACGGTTGCCTTTACTGATGCTATGGATACTAGTGCTCCTTGTGACATCTGATAAGCCATTTCTACTGTCATGCTTGTCTCGCATTTTCGAGGTTTAGGGTTTAGGAGTTTAAGGCTTAAGGGCTTCGGGGTTTTATTGTTTTGGCGTTAGGCTTTAGGGTTTATAGGGTTTAGCCCTCAGACCCAGCGTCCTGCCGCACTTGAGGGGTTGCCGAACACTCCGCGTTTTTCGAGGTTTTTGGCTGCCAGGGGTCTGAATTCGATGGGTCCCCCGGCATTTCGGCTCCAGGCCGTGGGCCCTCCACGCTAACGTTCCCACAAACTCCATCCGTTCCCACAGAGCATCCATGTGCCAACCATGATAGCGTTCCCACAAACTCCATCCGTTCCCACAGAGCATCCATGTGCCAACCATGATAACGTTCCCACAAACACCATCCGTTCCCACAGAGCATCCATGTGCCAACCATGATAACGTTCCCACAAACTCCATCCGTTCCCACAGAGAATCCATGTGCCAACCATGAGAACGTTCCCACAAACTCCATCCGTTCCCACAGAGCATCCATGTGCCAACCATGATAACGTTCCCACAAACTCCATCCGTTCCCACAGAGCATCCATGTGCCAACCATGATAGCGTTCCCACAAACTCCATCCGTTC